GTAACATCTTATAGTGGTGATCAAATTAAAATATTAGGTCAACAGTATATTTTATGTAATTATAAAGTGCAAAATACTTTAATGACAAAAAACATTAACTTTATTATCGCAAATGTGTCATCGCCAACTATTCTTGGTAAATTTACTTGTTCAGAATTGGGCTTAGTAAAACGAGTTTTTAATATAAGTGATACTTGTCAGTCGGACAGTGAGAATAATAATGATTCTTTTCAGATGCATAATAATGTTAATCAACAATGTAAGAAGAAAGTTACTTTTAAAGCACATAACACAAGTAGTTTTTCATATCAAAATATTAATCAATTATTACAAAATTATAAATCTCTTTTTGCTGGTCTGGGTTGTCTTCCTGGTGAATTCCATATCACAATAAATCCTGATGTCAAACCTAAAATTGATGCTCCAAGAAAAGTACCATTTGCACTTCACAAAAGGCTTAAGGCAGAACTAGATGCAATGGAACAACAAGATGTCATAATAAAGGTCACAGAACCAACAGCATGGGTAAGTTCATTAATATTAGTACAAAAGAAAAACGGACAGCTTAGAATTTGTCTAGATCCAAGGAATCTTAATCAAGCAATATGCCGTTCACACTATCCAATACCTACTATTGATAATGTCAGATCAAAGTTGTTAGGAGCAGCCTACTTTTCTACTCTGGATGCTTCTAGTGGTTTCTGGAATTTGGTTCTTGATTATGAGAGTTCACTGCTTTGTACATTTAATACACCCTTTGGACGTTATCGCTTCAAGAGATTACCATATGGTATAAATTGTGCTCCTGAATTATTTCATAGAGTGATGACAGAAACATTTGGTGAGTTAAATGGTGTTATAGTTTACGCTGATGATATTTTGGTATACGGATCTACAGAACTGGAACACAATGAAAATTTAATAAGGGTTCTACAGAAAACAAAAGAAGTTAATTTAAAATTAAATAAAAATAAGTGTATTTTTGGCTGTCAGCAAGTGAAATATTTAGGACATATTTTTTCAAAACAAGGTGTGACCCCTGATCCAGAAAAGATAAGAGCTATCAAAGATATGCCTTCACCAACTTGTCTGAAAGATTTGCAACGTTTCTTAGGTTTATTAAACTATTTAGGACATTTTATTAAGAATTTGGCATCTGAAACTGAACCTCTTAGAAATCTTCTTAAAAAGTCAAGTGATTGGCAGTGGAATGCTAGCCATGAAGCAACATTTAACCGTCTAAAAGAATTAATTTGTCAAGCTCCTGTCTTAACTCACTTTGATGTCAAACAGTCAGTTGTGTTGTCAGTCGATGCAAGTCAATCAGCTGTTGGTGCAGTTTTATTACAAAATGAACATCCTATTAGTTATGCATCTAAAACTTTAACAGTTAATCAACAAAGAATGGCACAAATAGAAAAAGAACTTTATGCTATTGTCTATGGTTGTCTCTATTTTCATCAATATATTTATGGCCAAATTGTTACCGTAGAAACTGATCATCGTCCACTTATAACATTATTCAAGAAACCTTTGGCAGAAGTTCCGACACGTCTACAACGTCTCATGTTAAGAATTCAATCATATGATTTAAGAGTTATGTACAAACCTGGATCTAAAATGTACATAGCTGATTCATTGTCACGAGCAGCTTTACCAGAAAGTCAAGAGGATGAGCTAGATAAAGAAGTAATTATACACATAAATCTTTTAAAAAATAGTCTACCAATTTCTAAAGAACGTCTAACATGGTTAACAGAAGCTACTAATAATGATGAAACTATGCAATTACTTAAGAAGTACTACAAAGAAGGATGGCCGAATAATAAATTAAATGTCAGTCAGTTAGTCAAACCATATTGGAATTACCGTCATGAAATACATGTCATTGATAATATTGTCCTAAAAGGTAACAGTTTAATTATACCTACTAAATTAAGAGCTGAAATGCTTAAAATTATTCATAGTGGTCATCAAGGCATACAAAAGACAAAAAGTTTTGCAAGAGGTATAGTTTTTTGGCCACTAATGTCACATGATATTGAAAATATAGTCCAAAGTTGTACCACATGCATGTCACATAGGTCTGCTAACCCAGCAGAACCATTGTTGTCACATCAATTAACTACTCTACCATGGGAGAAAGTTGGTATTGATTTTTTAGATTACAAAAAGAAAACTATTGTCGTGGTTGAAGATTATTATTCCAACTATATAGAAATAGCCGAGGTGCCAAGTACAAATGCGAGATCTCTAATAAATGTGCTAAAATGCATATTCAGTCGTCATGGCATACCAGTCACTATCATGAGTGATAATGGACCACCATTTAATTCTGCTGAGTTTCAGAAGTTTGTCAGTGATTGGACTATTGAACATGTCACGTCTAGTCCTTATGTTCCTCGTTCAAATGGACTTGTTGAGTCAGGAGTCAAAATAATTAAACGCATACTATCAAAATGTGATGAATCAGGTGATGATCCAAATTTAGCATTACTGCAGTACAGGACAACTCCGAGAGGTAATGTTTCTTCACCTGCACAACTTCTAATGTCACGTTCTTTGAGAACACAACTTCCTAGTACTAAGAACAATTTAAAACCAAAGATAGTAAGATTTAAAGAATTTATTAAAAACAAGAAAGAAAATCAAGAAAAACAGCAACATTATTTTAATAAGCGTGTGAGAATTTTGCCTGCAATTCATAAAGGTGATACTATTTTGTATAAGAAGAATCCAAATTCTAAATGGTCTCCAGGGATAGTTCTGAGAAAGTGTGAAGAGCCAAGATCATTTGTTATAGAATCCTTAGATGGCACTAAATATCGTAGAAATCGACAACATTTATTGAAACCTTCAAGTAGTCAAACTGAAAAAAGAAAATCATTAGTAAAGGAAACACAAGAAAAAGAAAGAGAAGAAAGCCATAATAGTAATGTAAATTCAGGAGAAACAAGTTATAATAATGAATATAAATATACCAGATGTGGACGTCAAGTCAGACCACCAAAAAGGTACAATTTATAAATTTACACAACATATATTTGTTCATATATATTACATTATATTATAATAATATTATAGTCTATAATTTTAAAATGTTAAAGTAAGAATAATATATGTAACTAAATTTAAGATAAAAACATTTATTTTGTTTTTCAAAAAAAAAAAGGAACATGTTATGATAGTATTAACTTACTCTGTGTGTACTATTAATTAGTCTATGATCTTATGTCTCTCTTGTGTCTTTGGTCATGGTCGCGTATGTATGTCCATGTCAGCATGTATTCACTATTAAGTAAAACTTAAATATATATTAAATGTAAAAGGATTGTTGTGGTAAATAAATAAATATAACTTATGGTGCATTTTATATATAAGACAAAACAACCTTTTATATAATTTTATACTCGTTTCTTAAATTTTCGCGAGAACTTTTGAACAATAATTTCATTTCAGACGTTTTAGATCTTTTACAGGTTCCTTGTTCACTCAGACAAAGATATTTCAAACTACATTTTATTTAATATGAAACTCTAAATAATCTCATAAAGATTCTTTCCCTATATTTTTAGGTCAAAATGAAATTCTTGTCAATACAATTGTTGCTTCTATAACAGAGTATTTACTTTATTACACAAATATATTATTACACAATATCACATACATTGTTCAGATTCCAAGATGAGTAGTCAAAGCCCCCGTATTATGGAGTATCTGAGACAACAAAAGTAACACAACACCCAGACCCGACACAATATAGAAAAGTTCATTTACTACATTGACCCGACCGGGGATCGAACCCGGGACCTCAGAGATGGCGACACCTTGAAACCGGCGTGCGAACTACTCGGCTACGGAGCTCGTTTTCTTTGTTAAAAACTATTTCCCAAAACTCTCCATCTGTATCTATAACATCTCATGTCGGTGGATTAGTTTCCATTGTTCCTTATCCTCGGCTAGGATCTTGACTCCTTGGTACGATACGACGCTTACTTTTTTCCCTTGTTCAAAGTAGCTGCATCTAGGTCTTCCTCTTCAAAAATTCCCAAAAAATATATTTAAATAATCGTTCATATTTCAGACATAAAGATTGTGTTAGATTTTATACCCAATCACACGAGTAACGAGAGTGAATGGTTCATCAAATCTTCAAGTAGAGACGAGTACTACAGTGACTGGTACATATGGGAGAACGGATACATCGGACACGCGGGTGAACGCAAACCGCCCAACAACTGGGTAACAGAACATTGTTCACATGAGAAAAAAACATTCCAAATCAAGTAGCTAAAACACTTGTAATCATCCAATCATTTATTTTCAACATAGACCAGGCCGGAAATCGAAGGACCGGATCGGGACCTCAGAACTGGTGACACCTTAAAAACAGCATAGAATAAGATCACTCTGTTCTCTTACTCGTCACCATCAGCCCTTTTACGTCCTCACTGAAGGGGTTCCTTACTCGTATACTAAAATTCTTTAAGCGTGTATGGTCATTTACTATATTCTATAACTCTTCATTGACTTCTAACCGTTTGTTTTTTGTCTTTAACACTTTAGTTTCTTACTTTTTTCTCTGATTATCAAGGCTTTAGATTGAGGGATTTAACTTTTCTTGAAATTCTGAATGTCTTTAATTAGTTACTACGTTATATTTCGGGACGAGCAGATTTGTTGAATCACTAATCAGCATTATTATGCAGTTGTTTAAAGATTTGTCTGTGTATTGTATTGGACATGGTCACTTTATGTACACACGGTAGCCCGTCAGGTCACTACAATAAGCTAGATTTCTGCGTTAAGCTTTTGTACATTTGTATATTTAAAAACATCTCGTTTACAATCTTGTTCGTTATAGATTTTGCTAATTCAAACTGTTATTGCTTTTTAGATCAGTTTATTTAGAAAGAGTGCTTGGAGTTATTCACCTGTTAGAGACCAATATTATCTTCATCAATTTGGTGCTGCACAACCTGACCTGAACTATAGGAACCCTGTTGTGGTCGACGAAATAAAGGTAATTTATCATTTTTAATTTCACATTATTTCATAACCAGGAATATAAAAATTAACGAAATGAAAATTTTAACCCAAATAAAGGTTAATATTAAGGTAGATGTGTAATGGCGATAGAAGAGGTAAATATTGTGGTTACGTAGGTATTAAAAAAATGTGTAAAAACTGAGATATTATGTCAAAATTAATAGATTAAATACTTACGAGGGTCAAACTGAAAGTTCTTAGAACTGGCCACTTATAAACAATATAATAAAAAAATAATTCTAAAATTTGAAAATATAACTCTTTGCCAATATTACTGAGTATATATTTCATTCATTTGTCATTTGTTTTACGATTTGGCGGCAAATTGAAAATTGTCTGTGTCACGTCATCATGAATTTAACACGAGAAAATTTTCGTGCAATGATTTTTTATGACTTTCGATGTCATTTAAGTCAACAAGAAAGTTATGATAGACTACGATTGGCCTTTCACGATGAAGCCCCATCTCGTGCGACTGTTTACAACTGGTTTAATGAGTTTAAACGTGGTCGCACTAATCTCACTGATGATTTACGTGAGGGACGGCCTTCTACGGCGACGACTGAAGATAACATTTGTGTTGTGCGGCGTATGATAGAGACTGACAAAAGAGTGACCTATCAACAGATTCGGACAAGCTTAGGCATCGGTATGAGTCAAGTGCACAAAATCCTCCACGAATATTTAGCGGTCAGGAAGCTTTGCGCCCGGTGGATACCTCATAATTTGACTGAGGCTCAAAAACTCCATCGTGTGGATTGGTGTCGTAAAATGATTGAAAGATTTAACGGAGGTGACTCAAATGCTGTGTTCGACATACTAACAGGTGACGAAAGCTGGATTTACTGTTATGATCCTAAAACCAAAAGACAATCTGCTCAGTGGGTGTTTCCTTTCGAGGAGTTGCCAACTAAAGTGAAGAGAGATCGAAGTGCGGGAAAAAAAATGGTGGCCTCGTTCTTTGGAAGGATAGGTCATTTTGCAACAATTGTGTTAGAGGATCAAAAAACAGTTTCTGCAGAATGGTACACTACCAATTGTTTGCCACTTGTCTTGGAAAAAGTTCGAGAGAAACGACCTCGCAGTAGGATCCTCCTTCACCACGACAACGCCTCGTCGCACACCGCCAAGCGAACGATCGACTATTTGGCGACATCAAACGTTGAATTACTGGGTCACCCGCCGTATAGCCCCGACCTCGCGCCTTGTGATTTTTATTTATTTCCAAAAATTAAAGAAAAACTTAAAGGAAAGCGGTTTATGAATGCTGAAGAAGCGGTGGCTGCGTATCGCGATACCATTGAAGAGACCCCTAAGGACGAGTGGGCAAAGTGCTTTTCCCAGTGGTTCCATCGCATGCAGCGGTGTATTGACGTGAATGGACAATATTTTGAAAAGATATAATAAAACTAATAACTGGCTAATGTAATCAGTTTTTGATTTTCTAAGAACTTTCAGTTTGACCCTCGTATAATACCGGGTATTAGAAGTGTTAGAAGCAATTTTCCACTCCAGCGCAATAGTTTAAAAGTAAAAAAGAAATTATCCTGTGTTCATATGAAATTAAGTAGGTAGCCAAGATGAACTACACATTTTCTTCTTAAAAATTTGCTTATACAGAAGTTACACACTGTGAAAGTACCATTACCAAGACTGGGAATACGCAACATATAACACCATAGTGGGGATGTTCCCATTGAATGAACTATTCTTCTCAGAACCTCTCCTATATAATATGTAAATATTATGCACAAATAAACATTTTTTTTTATAAAAATGTAAAAGATATGAATAACTATTGAACTGTCACGTAAGTTCTTTATAGCGAGCGGGCATTCGCTGAGAAATTATTTCCTGTAATTCTAATAGGAAATGGGATTCCACGTGGGTGAAGCCACATACATGATATTTATTATAAAAGGGACATAGTTTATATTTCTCATTTTATTGTAGAATACACACAAACAATCCTTTCTTATAATAATTGGGTTGATAAGAGATTTGCCATGGCTGGCCTTTGTAGTATTTTCTGAGAAAAAAGAATTTCAATTGTTTATTTTAAATATACTTTCATATCTAAACACATAAACTGGGTAAGTAGCTAGATCCCATTTATGATAAATTATTACGACGAAGCTCCAGACAAGAGGCAATATGAAAAGTTCATTGTATAAGTTATTAGGCTACGAAGATCGTCGTTTATATGAAAGTATTTAAAGGCGTGTAATTATAGATTTTAAATAAATCATAACAATAGTTACCCTTTAAAAACAGTCATCGAATATGTTCATATACTACGGCCATAATTATTAACGATAAGCTGCTATCAGATATAAAATTTAGGAGGCCTATTTGAGAAGGTCTAGCGAAAAATATTCAGACAAAAAATTAAGTCATTCAGTGCCCTACTTGCCAGTTCTAAATACAACTCAATACAAAATCTCCCGCTATAGATTTACTCACCGACGTATAGCTTTCGCTTTTTTGTTAAAATTCACAAGTGCCTAGACTGACTAAATGATATTGACTTTTGAATCTTTAACCACTCTATTGGTCCGTGGTCTACTTATTGTTAGTATTATTATTACACAATACCACTATTTTATTATAATCTTCTTTTAGAATATCATAAAATTCTGGTTAGAGAAAGGAATAGCCGGCATGATAATCAACTCTGTGAATCATATCTTCGAAACTGACAAAGATAATTTCGGTGGACATTACCCCGACGAGCCGCTAACTGGGAAGCCGGGACAAAGACCTGACGACTACGGGTATTTAGAACACATATATACCAAGGATCAAGAGGAAACTTATGAGCTGGTGTCACAATTGAGGGAAGCGTTCGACGCCATCTCCGTCCGTGATAATATGACGAGGTTTGGCTTTGTATTTATTTTCGTTTTGTTCTAAACTTTTGTTTTAGAGAAGCTTCAAGATTTTTAGCTAACTTATAACAGAAACAATCAATTATATTAAGCCGTAGGTAAAACCGTAGGTTATAACATTATAATTTGAAAATATTATTATTAATTTACTTACAAACTTCTAACTGTCATTTCAATTAAGTAATTTAAGATCACAAATCGCCCAAATTGCAAAAGGTTGTGGGTTTGAGCCCCGTTTTTTTTAGGCATTTTTCGTTGAAGATGACTTTGAATATAGCATTGTGAATACAAAATTTATCAAATAATCATTTGAACACAAATAAATCTTATCCAAGGAAACGTTCATTGAGTAAGCAGAACACGATCTCATATGAAATTCTGTTTTCTCTTTCTCACAGGGTAATGATGACAAATACACACACGAGTATTAAAAATGCAGTGAAGTATTACGGCGAGGGAGCCCACTTGGGATCACATATCCCCTTAAATTTTGCCCTTATAGAGGGTCTCGATAAGAGTTCAGATGCTAGGGATATTAAGTATGCGGTAGACCGATGGCTCACTTACAAGCCGCTGAGGAAGCAAGCTAATTGGATGGTAAAGTAACTCCATAATATTTAAGTTGGTGTTTTATATTTAGCTTAGATTTTAATGGTAATAATGAAATAATTCCATAGAATGGATATGTTAAGTGTTTTCATAAAATTTGCTAGATCGGTGACCACGACAGAAGTAGGGTGGCGTCGCGGTTCAGATCAGAACTGGTGGATGCTTTCAACATGCTCATCTTGCTTCTACCTGGGGTCGCTGTAACATACATGGTAAATATGTTATATAATAGAACTAAAGAAGTAATCATGTGGTGTAGAATGGCGAACTTTCTGATAAAATCTCTCTATATGTATCATCATCATCATCATCAGCCCTTTTACGTCCCCACTGCAGGGGCTCAGGCCTTCCTTATGGATGGTTAATGAGGATGGGCCATGACCCTCCACGCTGGCCCAATGCGGATTGGAGGGTATTAACGACTGCAAATGCAGCCGGGACCAACGGCTTAACGTGCCTTTCGAAGCACGGAGTAGCTCGAGATAATAATTTTTTGGTCACCCATCCCGTGACCGACCCTTGCGAAAGTTGCTTAACGGCAACGATCGCGGGCCGCGGCGCTTATCCATTACGCCACCGAGCTACTCTATATCTCTATATGTATATATACCTCTAAGTATCTATAAATGGTATGGTATGGAGTATGGACGTGCGTGAAGAGTCTACCCTCAGTATCAGCTGCTCAGTTCTCTCTGACAACTTGTCAAGATAAAGATAGACAATTACTTAATATAATTGACAATAAATAAATTACTTAATCTAAAGCGGTAAAATAATAAAACCTACAATACTTTAGGGAGAAGAAATAGGTATGCAGGATGGGTTCGTCCCTTGGACTGAAACTAAAGACCCATTGGCCTGCAACACGGACGATCCCGTCAACTTCGTGGAAGTATCCAGAGATCCCGTTCGTACTCCCTTCCCATGGAGCAATGGTAAAAATGCAGGTGAGCTGCTAGTTGCTTTAAAATAATAGTATAGAACTACTTACAATAATAGTTATCTTCGTAATTGAAGAGAAGCAGTGTTAATCAATTCCTTTGACCAGGCAGGCGAAACCGCGGGTAACAGATGGTGTATCATATTTTTAACTAAAGCGACAGTAATGCAATCATATCCGGAGATGCCAGAGTATCCATAAGAAAGGTCAATGTTCACTGAAGTGTAAAAAGAATTTCCGGCACAATCTGGACGTGGTTTTTTTCGAATTCTTACTATTTTATGAGGCGAAGTTTCTTTGTACGACACGTTAAACGTATTTTAGAAAATAATAGAAAATATTTCTTGATTAGATTTTTTTTGGTACTTAATGATGATGTCGATGGTCAATGATTGAGATATTAAATATTATCTTTCTAGAGATTGGAAAAAGTTGTGAAATTTAAAGGGTTTCAAATAAATAGATTGTTTATACTCGCACTTAAAGGCATAGTATTTACTATTGTCGCCGGCATTAATTGAGTTTTTAAAGTCAATCTACTATAAATAAAATAAAGTTCAATTATTTGTTTTCGCCTTTATTTTTTCTACACAAATAATTAAAAAGTAACCTCTATTTTAATTAAAAAAATACCAAGTTCTTCTCGTAATTGTATTCTATTTGGTAGTGAATATTAATAGATACTATGAATCACTTTGTAGCCTAAATTTTAATGACAGATTACAAAATAATCGTCAATAAATATTTTTTGTAATCAATTATAACAATATAGAATTAACTAAACTCGTCACGTCAGCTTTATGCCTTAATATTGGTACAAATGAAGTGGTTGCTTGATAATTTCACTGTTGGATTGGTCTCTTAAGCCTCTAGATACTCTTCGGTGGTAAGTAAATCAAGTACCTACTAATAGTCAGCTGAGTGATGCTCTCGATCCGACAATATTGTTTCAAAGTTACAAGATAAACTTAAATATCAGGTTTTATACGACGAAGTTCTAATCATACACATCGATTAGTGATTTTTTGTTTGAGTTTTAGGTTCGGTGTAAATCTGCCAGATGCAACGAATCACGTGACTTTAAAAAAGTTCTACCAGAAATACAAAATCTTGCTATACAAATCTTTTGCAAACAAAAATTACTTAAATTTCCTTTTCAAATAAACTATCCGTGTTCTTTCAAATAGCATACAGTCATCAGAAAAGAGGCTACATACAAAATCCTATAATCGGATAACATGGCGCATACATCACCAGGGCCAGCCCCCTCGGCTGAATTTACATGGCTTTCAGGAACGCAACACGAATTCTCTGGTAGCTTCGAATAAAGTGGAATCCATTTGACGATCCTTTAACCTTAAAAGGTTTTATTATTCATCTTGAATTTATTATTCGAACGGTCGCGACATTTAAATCTTAGATGAAAATATGAACTGGAATAGTGCTTACAGATTAGAACGTTCGAAAAAAGAACCTTTCTGTTACCTAGTTCAATTTATTTTAAATAATTAGGCTAACATGCATTTTGTATTCAGATTGCAGAATTCGGCATGAACAATTTTAGCATTTTGTGCAAAAAAGTAATGATCATAAGCAATGTTGGTCGGTGTGATAAGCGTTTAGTAATATGATGAGATAACGTGGATGACCAGTCTTACATTAAGTGACCATTTACACAAATGATTAAAATAAACTAGCATATATTTTTACGCCACAAGGAAATTCTTGTGGGCTACCAAGTATCATCGGAAAATTATTACATAAAGAAGATATCGGTCGGTATTTTCTTCATGAACGTGTAAATAACGTTACTCGTGTACCATGAAACTGAAAAAGTTTACAAAATTATTTCAATAGTTTTGGAGCCTATTTAATGGAAACAAGCAATCAAATTGTAGCTCAGTGGCGTAGTGGATAAGCGCCGCGGCCCGCGATCGTTGTCGTTAAGCAACTTTCGCAAGGGTCGGTCACGGGATTGGTGACCAAAAAATTTTTATCTCGAGCTACTCCGTGCTTCGGAAAGCACGTTAAGCCGTTTGTCCCGGCTGCGTTTGCAGTCGTTAATACCCTCCAATCCGCATTGGGCCAGCGTGGAGGGTCATGGCCCATCCTCCTTAACCATCCATAAGGAAGGCCTGAGCCCCTGCAGTGGGGACGTAAAAGGGCTGATGATGATGATGATGAAGCAATCAAATATTTAATGAAAAGAAAAATATTGGTTTAGGGTTTACAGAACAGTACCTGTTAAGATTTGTAGCACATTTAACAATACATTTTAATTAATACATAAAGATCCAATCACTTAAAATTGATTAATATTGTACAGTATTCTATGACGCACTGAATGTTGCTAAATTTTGGTTTTTATAAAGAGTTCAAACTAAAGTATTATTACATTAAAATGATACAGGGTTTTCGACGGCTGACCAAACATGGCTTCCGGTGGCGGAGGGCTTCGAGTACTTGAACGTGGCCAACCAGCGGTCGGCGGTACGCTCCCACTACCAGGTGTACCGCGCCCTCACCAACCTGCGTATACGAGCTGCCTTCAAGTATGGACGCATGGAGTCTCTAGCGCTCAACAACGAGGTGTTTGCTTTCAAAAGGTACACTTTTAGACTACACTTGTATAACACCTACATATGTTTTTTTTTAATGTTTTAATAAAGTTCATAAGTATTGAGGCCATGATGCAATGAAATTTCAAAAAACTATTGAGTTGGTTAGTTAAACTAGGCCGCAGCCGCAGATGTTATTATTATCGACAAGATCGCATTAGAGTCTTCGTTGCAGGCTATGACCTATCTTTTTATGGCAATTCCTTTGTAAAAGACATATTAATAAGCTTGGCATTCTTGCCTAATAATAGTAATTTCGATATGTGAATAAGAAAAGACGCAAAATATGTTTAATGATCGGCACTCAAGTTTTAAACCCGAGAGAATAAGTTAAAATAACTTTAAATTGATATTCAACAATAAAATGCCTTTACATGTTACGCTATACCTTAAATAGCATGTATACCTTAAATTAATTTCTATCGCATTGTTTGACTTTGATATAGATGAAATGTAGACGAGTTCACAATAAGGATTCAAACTTTAATCACATTTGTAAACTGGCTGCTATTTAATTGATGGGGTCTAAATCAACGTTCACCACATACGTCAAGTTTACGCAATTGGTACCAAAGTCCATTGTCAACAGTTCTGGAGAAATTTAATAATTTTGTAACAAAACATGAGAAATCAAAGAACTCACGTGCCTTAGTTTCGGTTCGTTATCTTTAACATAAGATCATGGTTACTGTACCTTTATCTTATCAGGTGGCATAACGACGATGCTTACGTGATAGTAATGAACGTTGGAAGAACCTATCAAGTGGTCAACTTGACAGCCTTCGACTTGATATTTGGACAACTAGAAGTGGAGGCTAGCAGTGTCCTTTCATCTAGGACTTACAAGTAAGAATAGACTTATGGCTTTGTATTTCTTTTATAAATCACGATCTTTTCAACGCGTTGTAAAATAAAATTTGATGGTCCATACGAACGTGCAGGCTTTATTGATTTTATATTCGGACGGTATTTTGACGTGCTACTTATTTTAAATTGTTAATAAGAAGTAAGATTTTCGTTGAAATCATTATATTTTGTATTACATTTTGATAACATTATGAACTTATACTTAGAAAATCCAATCATGGGTTTTATCAATGTAACTTAAATAACCGGATAAATGGAAATTGAAAATAAATAGGTCACAGGGAAACAGGTAACAGAGTGGTACAATTTGCGAATCTATAACAATGCCGCCTGTAATATATCCATATGGATACGAACAAAACAAATAAAGAAAAAAGTTTGGGAATATTTTAAGATCTGTTTGCGAAGAGACGAGAATAAGAAGATACGAAAATTTTATTACTTTCATTTTGATTCATTTGTACGCTTGTAGATAGAGAGGAAACTGGAAGAAGAAATATTGAACCGAAGACGTTAGGTGGTAGCTGATAGAAAAGAATATAATGTAATAATCAATTTGACGACCTCCGTAACCGAGTGGTTCGCACGCTGGTTTCAAGGTGTCGCCATCTCTGAGGTCCCGGGTTCGATTACCGGTCGGGTTAATGTAGAAAATGAACTTTTCTATATTGTCCCGATTCTGGGTGTTGTGTGATCTTCGTTGTCTCAGATACTCCATAATACGGGGGGCTTTTACTTCTCATCTTGGAATCTGAGCAATGTTGTTTAATATTGCAATGATATGACGTTGTTTAATATTTATTAAAAAAAAAAAAAATTAGCCAACATTAGCTTCATTATCTATGTATTTTTCTATTAAAGAAATATAATAAATAAGATGCACTACCTTTTACAAGAGGTAATTAAATTGAGGATTAGAGAGAAATAATTATAGTTTTTGTGTTAAAGATGTGTTCCTTGTTTATTATTTGAGATATAATTAATACTTAAACTCTTTTATCAAATTAGACACCATCAGGAGATCCATATTGGGATCTAAATTATTCGTCGAGTCAATAAAAATTACTACTAAAGGACTATCCCCGGCTATTGCATCGGATATTACGGAAGCACCTTCTAAATCATGTTATTTTATTAATCTAAACTTTTTACTTATATTTAGATTTTTTTTCATTCTTTTTAATTTTACCCACAGTGACGTAGTTCCAGCTGGCTCATTGGATTTAGCGGCGGACGAAGCTCTGGTGCTAAGGATGCAAGCTTGACATATTTATTGAAATGTTCATTTAATCATTCTAAAGTTTAAAGTAAATTTGGTTTTTACTACTTTCTTATTGTTATTTATTAGAGTAGTAGAAATTTTCCGATCAATCACTGTAACAATACATTTATTATTTACAGTTTTAATTCGCAGGATCCATAAATCTCGATATTTCAATCTTTTTTGGGGATTTTATTCAAATAAAGTTCGTAACTTTATTACTTCATGTAACAATGGTGTTATTATTAAAGCCTAGTCGTTTGGCATTTATTGGTATAATATCTGTTATTAGTTAATATAAGTACTTAGTCTGGCCACAAATACTATTAGAATTAAAAATAACGTAATACTACTTTTTAATTTCGAATCTGTAACTTTTATATGATTGTTCATTGTCTTTTTTTTTGCGCCAATACAATATTAAATAATTTATGATATTAAAATGGAGTGGGATGATAAAGAGAACCGCATCGCTGTGATTGCATTACCTAAAGTGGGTATAGAGCCAACACTATTTTCAAAACCCTCAATTAACTTGGTATTAGTCAAATATTTGAATATCGGGCATAGGTATAATGAAACCTCCTCTGTTTGTAACAAAAAATGATCCGGCCGTCCACGTAGTGCACGTATGAAAAAACAATTAAAGCAGCAAGAAAAAGAATTAGAAGAAATCCTATCTGAAAACAAAAGATTTTATCTCGGGAGATAAAGGTAGCTTCTAGAACCATGTTTAGAGATGAATTGGTCTCTTCTTAACTGATAATTGAAAAAATAAATATGGTAATAAAAACAAAACAACTGCTTAAGCGGTACAAAAAAGGAGATCACAGAAAAAAAATATTAACGGATGAGATCTTTTTTTATAATTTTAAAATTAAAGTTCTAAAGAAGCTTTACGATTAGTCAACAGAGTACAACGTGGGTATTATCCGACTTCAGTGACGGTTTGGTGGGGTATTATGTATGAAGGAGTGACCAAGCCATATTTTTGTGAAAAAGGCATCAAAACGTTGACACAGGTGTATCAAGATATGATTCTCGAGAAGGTAGTGACGCTCCTTAACAATACTATATTCAGTAACCAAGAATAGTCCTTTTAGCAAAAATCCACCCAATCTTGGTTAGAAACGAACGTTCCGAACTTCACCAGTATTCAAGACTGGCTGTCAGACTCCAGATATTAATTCGTTGGGTTATGATTTATGGTTAGTTTAGGAGAGTAATGCTTGCTCTAATCACCATGATAATTTGGAGTCCTTAAAACAATCCATACGACTGGCAGTTAAGAATTTTCCCAAGGAAAGAGTGCGTGCGTCCATTAATAACTGGCCTCGACGTTGAAAGAACTGTATTGCAGTCAATGGAGATCACTTTGCTATAAGTATATAAAGTACTGCTGTATTAAAAACATATATTTTAATAAGAGTCCCACACTGACAGATGTTTGAGGAAGGTTTAAAGAAATTTGGACTTGTTACAAATGCTTTTTAACGGTCAAAAACAGTGGGCGTTATTTTTGGCTTTGGATGGCTTTATATTTATGTATTTAACTAATATATTGTAATAAGTTTTACGTTCAATAAATAAAAAATAGGTTTTTCTATGTAACAATGTTTATGGCAATACTATGTATTTTGATTAACATTTATTTTAATTATATATTGATATACATAAATAAATAACACACGAGATACCAACAAACGTTCGCATATCATATTAAGATAATCTATACATACTATTGCCAGGTGTTTGATTCTCACGCGGTGATGTTAACGCCGTGATCATTTCTTATCATTTAGTTTAAAATATGATAATGAATTTAGGATCTGAGATTCCATATTTAGTTAACGGGACAAAAGAATGACCATCAAATATCAAACGGATCAGTTCATTGCTTATAATGCTCTTAATGTTCAATCAAATTTTGAGATATCATGTGACGTTTCGGTCAACCTGAAGTTTATATCAAACACTCACATAGATCTTCATATAAAGAAATTGCTGACAGAAATTTTGGCAGAATCGACATTTCCCATGTTAATTAAATATCAACTCCAACATTTCAATCACAACTCTGTTAAAATTTCTAAACAGAATATTAACCAAGTAATAATAATAAAACAAATAATATATCTGACTGAACCTCTTCGTCTAAATTTCAGTCATGTTTATCTGAAGAGTTTTGTTTGTTAAGATAAGTACGGCATAAGTTGAGAATGTTTCCATAACATCTATCATGATTATGTGCGCACCTGTTTTTAAATAACGACTTTAACCCTTGTTATTTTCTAAAAGTGAATAGAATATTAATTTTTTTTTGCTAGAAAAATGTTTACATAGATATTAGTATAGGCTACGCTGGTCAGCAAATATTGAGCATGCAATATATCGTATAAATATGTCATAATATATAAAAATGTCATAATTAATCTATGCTTTTATAATTAATGTACATACTCAAGAAGTCACATTCATTATTTATTCACAAATTCCGTAAATTTAATAAAAACATCATTTAATACAACTCCGTCAGATTCGTTTTTGACATCTTTGATGTTTCTGTGGCCTCAGCAAAAAAGGTCTTAAATGATATATTTTTATAAAATCATTTATTTTATTCACACTTCTAAATCTAAATCAAATACTTAAATTTATTTTCGTTATGTTAAATGTCTCCAGAATAGTAAATAATCCATTCCTGTAAGAATATAAACTTTCATTACATTAACATATTTATGCATGTTGTGCTTACGTCGAGTAGGTTTTAATGTAGTCTCAAAGATTCAAATGTTTTCTATGTATTAATGTACAGTTTTGTGAGCTTATAAAAAAACCATAGTACGTGGCATCACCTTAAGTATATCAAATTAATTCTAATAAATAGTTTAAAACTACATTTTGATTGAATAAACTTACTACATAATATTTTGTACCCGATATCCCAGAAACATCTATTAAATATATCTCCAAATCCGTCTCTGAATGTTATTGATATAATAGAGACGACGACTGGGTAAATACAAGAAATTCTATTCAGTCCGTCAGTCAGAAAATAGAAAAATATTAGATACGTTTTTTTTTGCTTGAATTTAACTAGAAATGGCTTATATAACAGACATTAAAGTTGAGGAGTGGGGGCCCACTACACCACAATTATGTAGAAAACGTACAAAGCTTTGATGTCATGTACCATTTCAATTCAATGTATTGCCGTAACTTATTGATTGCGCAAAAAAAATACGTGTTTAATATTATTTCATAATCTACCTGACAGACAGATAAACAAAGATAGTCATCATCCCTATAGTCAGTAAATAAGGATACAGTATCATCATCAAACTTTATGGAATATCATTTGTGAAATTATGTTACATTGTTCTATTAATGTTGTTTCGTTCCAACTAATTTAAAGCTTACACTGATAGTCTTATACAAAAAAAAATCAATCATATCTGTAGTCCATTTAACAATTAAGTTACCTAATGTTTGTTATAAGTCACATGAAAATTGAACTATGCTAATATAATGGGTGGGGGAACTGCTACCTGAGTTATGAAGCTATTTCACTTCGAGTGGCATTTTTGCATTGCCTATACAGCCTATACAGGATTTATAAGTTGAATTTATAGTTCAAAATTATGTTTCTTCCTGTTATCAACATTGTTGTATATGGTAATGTAAAATAAAAATAAATAAATTATCAAAGTAATTTTCTGCATACAGATAACGAAAAGTAACGCCCGGATACAGAAATATTGCAGATTCAAGTAGTCAATGCAATTTTATCTGATATAGACTGTCAAAGATTTGACTGATTTTCAATGAAACAATAAACATAATTGTGAAAATAATATTATGATATATCAATGCCATCAAATATCGAAAGTGGGTCTTTATATCCAAAAAACTCAATAATTGGTATTCATGAGGATATGAGCTCTTTTTATCGTCTTATTCACCTTGATTATATATCGATAACAGTTACTAATCTTACAACAAATCTATTCATATGCGTTAATTCACTGCTCATTCACATTAGATTACCGTAGGGAAGCTGATGTGAGAGCTCAAGATGAGGGCTTCGATATTTGTACCTCTCTTGATTCTAGTCAGTGGGATAGTAGCGTATCCCAGCAAACTGAATGAAGAAGAATGGTGGACGAAGACAATTTTTTACCAAATCTATCCGAGATCTTATGCTGATAGTGATGGAGACGGCATTGGTGATCTGAAAGGTGAGTTTCTTATCTTGCGACTAATTAAAATTGTATCGAAAAAACCTCTGAACTATTTAAGTTTTGTAATAATACGCCATAGAATCTGCATAAATTCTATTTTTCCAAGAAGTCAATACTTTTGTTTATTAACTTCAAAATATAGGTAAGTTATTTATTTTAATTTCACATTTTATATATCAATGAATGATTCGAAACACACGTATTGAATTACGTAAGTGTTCCTAAGTATATTTATTTCCTTCATTAATTAACTTTCAATTTATGGAATAGCCTAGTTTCATCAGTATCAATTTAGTAGTTTAAAAATATAAAACAGACTCAAAATAACTTTATGAAAGTTAAAAATATATTCAAGATCATAACAAACTTCGCTCGGACTTCAATAGAACTTGGTGAATATTTTTCACCTTTATCTATTTTCTATTTTGTACATATTTTGATTTTTTTCTTATTATTAGGTAGACGTTAATTTGTTCTTTAAACACTTATATTTACTCGTATTCTCGATTATCATAATAAAAACAGTTATGTATAATAAAAATTACATATTACAGGAATAATTTCTAAATTGGAATATATCAAGGAGCTAGGCGTTGGCGCAATATGGTTGTCACCGATTTTCCAATCTCCAATGTATGATTTTGGTTACGATATCTCCGATTTCTATGCCATTCACGACGAATACGGAACCATGGACGATTTCGAAGCTTTGACGAATAGAGCAAGAGAACTCGGTATGTTATAATATATTCAAAATATTTCAATCAAAAAGTCTTAAACTATCAATAACAATAGGTACTGGTAATTAGTTTCATTTCATAAAAGATGCATAATATACAAATATTTAATGTTGTAACTACGCAGATATAAAGGTTGTCCTTGATCTTGTACCAAATCACACATCAAACGAGAGCATGTGGTTCCAAGAGGCTCTCAAGGGTAACAAGAAATATTACGACTACTTTATCTGGGAGGATGGCATTATTGATGAAAACGGGAACAGACAACCGCCTAATAACTGGGTACGATATTTTTATATACAAACCATTAGTTTTTCTAAAGAAAAACAATCCAGAAATATGTTCTTCATGATCCTTTTAGCACAGTTAAACACTTTTGTAATTAAAAAACATACCCTTTCAAAAACAAACAATCTGTTTAGAAACTAACGTTCAAAATATAAATTACGTAAGCTCAGAAAAATATTATATAAAGTGATAAATTTCTACAAGCTTTTTAACTAATAACAGAAAAGTTTCTCCAAAATTACTGAGGAGTTGATAATCACCAGAGTTCAAATGAAACTGTAATGAATGCCATTGTTTCTAGCTAAGCCATTTCCGTGGTAGCGCTTGGGAATACAGGGAGGAAGTCGGAAAGTATTATTTGCATCAATTTGTTGTCGGCCAGCCAGATCTCAACTACCGCAATCCCGACGTTGTTCAAGAAATGAAGGTAATTTTTATAAATTATCTTATTTTGCTAGTCAGTAGCTACAAAATCTGTTCGAATCGTGCGATGAAAAATGTTACTTTTTAAAAATGTTATTACCTTAATTTTTATTTTATATACAGTCTGTTAATTTTGCCACATAAAATGAATATATAATAATTAATCTAGTATTGATATCTTTATCTAGTTTATGTTATCACAATAGTAGGAATTCCAATTGTAATTTGAAAATTATGTTTTTTTTTTCTTTTATTTTTAAGGATGTAATCAGCTTTTGGTTGAATAAAGGTGTTCATGGATTTAGAGTAGACGCTGTCAATTGCTTATTTGAGGTCGATAAAAATCTTTTCGGAGGCGTGTACCCAGATGAACCACCTTCAGGACGTACTGATGTCGATTCGGGTTCTCACGATTCTCTATCTCACATTTACACTAAAGATTTAAACGAAACATACTACATGGTGTATGAATGGAGGGCTTTATTAGACGAATTCGCAGAAAAGGATGGTGTACCAAGGATTATGATGACAGAAGTATATGCGACGATTCAGAATGTCGTAAGGTACTACGGCGAAGGTGATTTGAAAGGTGCTCAGATACCATTCAATTTCGATCTCATCAGCGATGTAGATGCATCGTCCACTGCTCCTGATATAAAATATACCATTGACAAATTCATGACATATAAACCTGTGGACGAAATTCCGAACTGGGTGGTAAGAAATATACAAAGTCATTTCATTATAAATTCGAATGATTATGTTTCCATAACATTCGATAATTGTTCTAGGTAGGCAACCATGACAACAGTCGTATGGCTACAAGGTTTGGTCCTTCTTTAGTGGATGGTATTAATATGTTGGTTCTTCTTTTGCCTGGAGTCGGTGTAACTTATATGGTAAGAAACAAAAAAAAAACAATATTAGTATTTGGATTTAAGTTTACATAGATAAATTCTCTGTTGTTGTTATAATTTTTCAAGGGTGAGGAAATCGGAATGGTAGATGGTTACGTAAGTTGGGAAGATACTGTTGATCCATCGGGATGTAATACTAATGATCCTATCAACTACGCACTTTCATCCAGAGATCCCGAAAGAACACCATTCCAATGGAATGCAGATAAGAATTCAGGTAGTAAAAGGTTTTATTTAATAATCTTTATAATCATCATCAATTAATTTGTAAAATTAAATCAATTTATTGTTTTATAAATAGGTTTCTCATCAGCTGAAAAAACATGGTTGCCGGTTGCCGAGGGATATGAAACCTTAAATGTAGCGGTTCAGAGTGAAGCTGAAAAGTCTCATTGGAAAATCTACCAAGCGTTGGCGCAGCTTCGTCAGCAGCGGGTATTCAGAAAAGGCCGCTACGAGTCATTGGCGTTGAATAAAGATGTCCTCGCCTTCAAAAGGTATTTGATTTATCTGTATTATGTAATCAAGCTGAAAAATTATGTAATATCTATTGGAATGCTATTTGTTGTATTTATTTATTCCTAATAGATGCGTTACTTATTGCACATAATATTGAAATTACTTTTAAAAATTATTTAAAAAATAAAACGTTTTTCTTTTTCAGATGGATCAAAAATGATATTTATGTAATTGTTTTGAATTTGAAAGATAAAGAGCAAGAAGTAGATCTCACTTATTTTGAAAACGTCTCGAAGAAACTAAAACTTGTACTAAGTAGCATTCAATCAACCAAAAAAGTGGGGTAAGTTTTTCTTTGATATTACATTTTTTTGATTGCATATAACAAATAATATTAATTTGAAGTCAAGTTGTTAATTTTTTGGGTTTTCAATTTGTTGGTGTTATATAATAAATAATAATATCCGCAGAGATTGTATGTGTGCTTAGGATAACGCTGCGAAATCCTGGCAGTCGAATAAAGCTTCTCTAATGGCTGTTATTCGACTCTAATTGTTTATTTTATTTGCAGAGAAACCTTCGCTGCATCGTTACTGCCTCTAACTCCATATGAAGCATTGGTTCTTAAAGTAAAATAGTGGATTTAAAAAAAATGCTGTTATTGTAATTGTTATTAAGAAAATTGAAATAAATAGTAATATTGACGTTGATATTTTTATTTATATTGCTTTATTTATATTATATTGTTAGTTAATGATTTATGTTCTTAAGATCGAACTTACAACATTTTTAAAATCTTAATTTCTTTGAGTAACTATGATTTTTTCGGGAGCAAAATAATACATTTGTTACCTACAAAAAGGGAAATCAATTATACAAATAAATAATAATACCTTCAATGCAAGTTTTTCCATCACAACTTTTGGGAGGTGATGCGTTAAACAATGATTTTTGGATAATTAACAGGACCCCAAGAACAAGAAGCCATTTTTAAGTAGGTACCGCACAGCTAATCTAGTAAACAAAAATAGAAATTTTCAGTGAACTTGTAGTAATATAGGTGTAGAATTCGATCTAATTTAAATATCAAAAGTTTATCTTCTCGGAACATCAAGTGTGTGGAATACTCTTTAAATAAAATAAAATGAGAATGGAATATATAGAGGCATATTGATATATATGATAATTAAACTCTGCCAATAATAATTTTAAAATATCAATTCATTTATATTTTATTTATTGAAACCATCGTTAGGTCCCCGGTTGTACAGTTGACTGAGCACTCGTCCAGATAGAAAGAGGTCGTCTTTTAAAAGAAAGAGTTTTATTAAGAACGCATTGTAAATGTCTCAAAACAATAATACGAAATTATTATCAACGTGGTGAAATAAAGCGATATAAGAAATTACTCCAAGTATAAACAACAGTCAGTACACTTCGGTAGTGGGCACTGTTACCAATAAACACTTATCACAATAATAACTAGTGAATAAAAGAAGAAGAAACGTTAATTGACCTCACACTACCAATAGACAAGAGCGTACATGATTTGTATCTAAATATATATAACTCAAAGGTGACTGACTGACATAGTGATCTATCAACGCACAGCTCAAACCACTGGACGGATCGGGCTGAAATTTGGCATACAGGTAGATGTTATGACGTAGGCATCCGCTAAGAAAGGATTTTGATAAATTCTACCCACATGGGGATAAAAAAGGGGATGAAAGTTTGTTTGAAAATTTTGTCAATTTTAAACCGATCGGGCTGAGACTTTGCAAGCATAAAGCTACTATGACGTAGGCATCCCCTAAGAAAGGATTTGATAAATTCCGCCCCTAAAGGGATAAAATAGGGCTTGAAACTTTATTTCAGGTTTTTTTACACGATATTTTGAATAAATATATATTGAAATATTCGTTAGAAATGCTGCTCAGAGTAACTTTACCACGCGGACGAAGTCGCGAGCATACGCTAGTTGTAATATATGATATAATACACATAGAAAAAGAAAATAACATTATTGTAATAATGATAGTTAAAGAGTAAAGAGGTCGATCAAGTGAACAGTGAAAAATATAACTGTAAGTGTTAGAATTGTGTATAAAATAGGATATATTTTAATGTTTACACTATTTATATTTTAATGTGAAGTCACTAGGAGGATTTGTATATTAATTAATTAACACATTTCTGGTAAGTAACTAAGAGTCATATAATAGTGATGACGACTAATTTTTATTTGTTTGTCCGTCGGGTAGTTTTTTGAAGAATATTAAATACCGCATTTTTTTTCGGCAGTAAATTATGTTGCATTAAGTTGATTTGTCGCAAGACGTCGCGCTTTTGTACATTTTCTACATAACTGTGACGTAGCGATACCCTAAGTCAACTTTAATGCCTAATATCGAAGCCATATCTTGTTTATATTGAAGCAAAAAGAAAGTATCTATAATTTTTCTATCATTTCTATTATATAATCGACAAGTCTAAATACTATATTATTCTATCATTTGTCTTTTACGAGGGTCAAACTGAAAGTTCTTAGAAAATCAAAAACTGATTACATTAGCCAGTTATTAGTTTTATTATATCTTTTCAAAATATTGTCCATTCACGTCAATACACCGCTGCATGCGATGGAACCACTGGGAAAAGCACTTTGCCCACTCGTCCTTAGGGGTCTCTTCAATGGCATCGCGATACGCAGCCACCGCTTCTTCAGCATTCATAAACCGCTTTCCTTTAAGTTTTTCTTTAATTTTTGGAAATAAATAAAAATCACAAGGCGCGAGGTCGGGGCTATACGGCGGGTGACCCAGTAATTCAACGTTTGATGTCGCCAAATAGTCGATCGTTCGCTTGGCGGTGTGCGACGAGGCGTTGTCGTGGTGAAGGAGGATCCTACTGCGAGGTCGTTTCTCTCGAACTTTTTCCAAGACAAGTGGCAAACAATTGGTAGTGTACCATTCTGCAGAAACTGTTTTTTGATCCTCTAACACAATTGTTGCAAAATGACCTATCCTTCCAAAGAACGAGGCCACCATTTTTTTTCCCGCACTTCGATCTCTCTTCACTTTAGTTGGCAACTCCTCGAAAGGAAACACCCACTGAGCAGATTGTCTTTTGGTTTTAGGATCATAACAGTAAATCCAGCTTTCGTCACCTGTTAGTATGTCGAACACAGCATTTGAGTCACCTCCGTTAAATCTTTCAATCATTTTACGACACCAATGCACACGATGGAGTTTTTGAGCCTCAGTCAAATTATGAGGTATCCACCGGGCGCAAAGCTTCCTGACCGCTAAATGTTCGTGGAGGATTTTGTGCACTTGACTCATACCGATGCCTAAGCTTGTCCGAATCTGTTGATAGGTCACTCTTTTGTCAGTCTCTATCATACGCCGCACAACACAGATATTATCTTCAGTCGTCGCCATAGAAGGCCGTCCCTCACGTAAATCATCAGTGAGATTAGTGCGACCACGTTTAAACTCATTAAACCAGTTGTAAACAGTCGCACGAGATGGGGCTTCATCGTGAAAGGCCAATCGTAGTCTATCATAACTTTCTTGTTGACTTAAATGACATCGAAAGTCATAAAAAATCATTGCACGAAAATTTTCTCGTGTTAAATTCATGATGACGTGACACAGACAATTTTCAATTTGCCGCCAAATCGTAAAACAAATGACAAATGAATGAAATATATACTCAGTAATATTGGCAAAGAGTTATATTTTCAAATTTTAGAATTATTTTTTTATTATATTGTTTATAAGTGGCCAGTTCTAAGAACTTTCAGTTTGACCCTCGTATTTCTGTAGTCTGTCAAAATTTGTTTGTTTTTAATTATGTAGCTATCTTACGTTTGACCATAAGGTCAGATTAATATTCTAACTGATTTTTTTACTTGACGTCAATGAACGTTATCTATTATTTGCTATGTTATTAATTTGTTTATAGCGCCAAAACAAATAATAATAACCAATGTATAATGTTTAATTTTTTTCGTCTAGAATTATTCCAAAGAAACTTAACGTTATACTAATACTAATTATATATCTCAGTCACGATGATGTTATATTGATGAAAGAAAAGACTAAAGGGCATTAAAGTATACGCTTTTTAGGATCGCGACTATAGTGATCGATAATTACGCATTACCACACCGTCTCTAGATATCTTCACATAATTTCTCTGACCTTATCGTAATCTTTCCCAAAAATAGATAATTTTAAATTTCCTGATAATTTTTAATAAACCTAGAACATCCGACGATTCCTCTCGATGATACCACTAAGAAACTCACCACGTTTAACAGATAAGATCTTCGATGAAGAGGTTCGAAGATTATCAACTTTAATACAGTAATCCTTATCTTATATCAAGATATTATTGTCTATAAAGGCCAGTAGACGAACATCCATCGTCTTAATAGATACCATCATGGGGTAAGTGTGCTCACTTATATTAGGAAATAAGTTACTGAAAATTTTCTGCATAATATTTCTATTCACATGAATTATGACGACCTCAGTAAACGAATGGTTCGCACGCCGGTTTCAAGGTATTGCCATCTCTGAGGTGAGAGGTTGGGTCAATGTAGAGAGTGAACTTTTCGATATTGTCTTGGGTCTGTCTGTTATGGTACCTTCGCTGTCTCAGATACTCCATAATACGAGGGCTTCACTCATTTTGAAATCTGAGCAATGTATGTGATATTTGTTTAATATTTATTTATTTAATTAAAGTGCCGCTATGTTTATATTAAAATATCTGTTTATTGATATTGAATGTTTGTTGTGTGATCAGAAAGTGGATGCTGTTGCCTATATTTTGCCTGCTGGCGCAAGCCAGTGCGCAGAAGCAGCTGGATTGGTGGGAGACGACTGTCTTCTATCAGATTTATCCCAGATCTTTTAAAGACAGCAACGGGGACGGCATCGGTGATTTAAATGGTGGGTCTTTATTACAAATATCTATTAATATAGTTTATAGCTAATATATCTTATATTAGTATTTACTATGAACATTCTTTACATTAATATTTCTTTAATTTATTAAAAAAAAATATTTTTTAAATACAAATTATCACAAATAAATCTAGATCAGAATTATGTCTAGACTAACAACTTGCTTTTCAGGCATTACTTCACAACTTGAATATTTGAAAGAGTTGGGTATTGGTGCAACATGGCTTTCACCTATATTCAAGTCTCCTATGTACGATTTCGGGTACGACATCTCAGATTTTTACGCCATCCAAGACGAATATGGAACAATGGAAGACTTTGGGAACTTGCTTGCTAAAGCAAAAGAGCTAGGTGAAATAACTGTGATACTGATACGAGTTGCTAGAATAGATTGATTTATACAGCGTGTAACTTACTTATAAAGTGATAATTTACAGATATCAAAATTATCCTTGACTTTGTACCAAACCATGGAAGTAATGAAAGTGTTTGGTTTGAAGAAGCTTTGAAAGGACATGAAAAATACTACGACTATTTCATGTGGGAGGATGGTGTGGTCGACGAGAACGGAAACCTTCAACCTCCAAATAACTGGGTAGGTAATTGAAAAACCGACCTTCCAAATTTGCTAAAATAAAAAGTTTTGTGAATAACTTATACTTACTTCCAATAGCTTTTTTTATCATCGAATATTTTAAACACCATCAGGTCAGCGTTTTTCGTAAGAGTGCTTGGGAATATAGAGAGGAAGTTGGCAAGTACTACTTGCATCAGTTCGTCATCGGACAACCAGATCTTAACTACCGTAACCCGGTTGTCGTCGAAGAGATGAAGAATGTGATACGATTCTGGCTTGACAAAGGTGTTGCCGGGTTCAGGGTTGATGCAATCAATCACTTGTTTGAAGTTGACAAGGAATTGTTCGGTGGCAAATATCCAGACGAGCCACGAACTGGCGACGAAGACCCCGATAGTTACGGTTATGTTGATCATATCTACACTAGAGACCAAGACGAGACTTATGATATGGTTTATCAATGGAGAGATGTATTAGATGAATATAAGGCAAGTGACGGTTTTACTAGAGTTATGATGACTGAGGCTTACGCTAGCCCTCAACTAACTATGAGGTACTTCGGCGAAGGCGATCGATTGGGATCCCAGATGCCTTTCAATTTTGCTCTCATCTCAAATGTCAACGGAAAATCAAGTGCTAATGAAATTAAATATGCTATCGACCAATTTTTAACCTTCAAACCAGTCGACAAGTTAGCAAACTGGGTGGTGAGTTGCAATAATATTATAAATTAACTTAATTTTACTTTAAAATAGAGATGACCTAATAACATTATCCATTGACAGGCTGGAAACCATGATCAAAGTAGAGTAGCGTCAAGATACAGTCCAGAATTAGTTGATGGTATGAACATGATTGTCCTTCTTCTTCCTGGAATCGCCGTTACATATATGGTAATTGTTTTATATTTCAGTCAAATAATACACAAAATTCAGATTTCAAATAATTATAATAATTATTCAACATTATTATATAGGGAGAGGAAATCGGAATGGTGGATGGCTTCGTTAGCTGGGAGGATACTGTGGATCCAAGTGGTTGCAACACTGACGATCCTATCAACTATGTACAATCGTCAAGAGATCCAGAGAGGACGCCATTCCAATGGAGCGCTGATAAAAATGCTGGTGAGATCATTGCGCTCTCAATAATTTGTATAAAACATGCCTGATATAAAATATTAAACTTTTACAATTTTATTTTGCCTAAATAATATAAGAAATTGAATTTACTACCGATATAACCAATATAATAACAAATGGAGGATTCTTTTACTATCGACTAATAGGTATACATTTTAACGCTTGATAAAGAATAAATAATCTAAATAATTTCGATTGAAAAATAATCTCTAACAAGTTATGCAATAGTGCGAGTGTTAATATTGTAAGTAAAGTAAATTAAAAAACTATATTTCCAGGATTCTCTACGGCAGATAAGACATGGTTGCCAGTAGCCGATGGTTACGAGACACTAAACGTGGAAGTTCAGAGGAACACCGATCGTTCACACCTCAACGTGTACAAGAGCTTAGTGCAGTTGCGCGGTGAACTCGCCTTCACGCACGGACGATACGAGTCCGTCGCACTTAATTCGGACGTCTTCGCCTTCAGAAGGTAACGCACTGGTTATCAACATATATTTGCAGTCATAAACTAGTTGAATATGAAAGAAAGTAAGAAAAGATTGAGACAAACAAACTGCATAACATTTTTGCTTTGTTAATACAAAGTGGAATGAAATAATCCCACAAAGTTCACATTACATTCTTTAATGTATTTATAAATGAATCTTCACATGAAACCATAATAAACTTAAATTTGTATTTGGTTGTTAAAGTCATTTTATTCAAACGAATAGTCCAACTATTAACTATTTTAATCATTATCAGTACATTTTAATTCAGAGGATCAATTTGTGAATGATGACGATGAATGCATGAGAAAACACATAAAACAATATCGTTAATATAATCGGAAAACTTTGTTATATTATATCAATGAAGTTATCTCCAAGGGAAATCTCAAGTGCTCCGTTGGTCTCATATCACTGTTAACTCATATCGCTAGCGGCTAAGTTAAGCAAATAGATAACTCATTAGCCAGTTATGAGATCCTATGATATACAACATTCAAAGTAAAGTATTTGAAAGCAAATAAGCTTCATAAAGTTTATAGATATATTTCTCCACCCAGGCATTTAAAGATAAGAAGAGTTGCAAAGAAAATAATGTCAAGAAAATATCAAAATCACCAGCCAAGTAACCGATACTGTTTTCATTAAAAGAAAACTGTGGGCGGTTTATTTAAATAATCACGGTTCGATGGTTGAACAGTATTTATGATTAAAAACGAATTTTAATGGATGATCTTACTGTTTAATTTACAAAGTCATTAATCTTTTGATCTACATCCCTGAATTGAAAGAGATAATGACTACATGATTTACGAAAGATTTTAAGATTACATTTTGATTACGAAGGAAAATAACATTTTTCTTATAGATCAAGTAAAGTTATTTAATAAACCACAAGAGATTGAATTTAGTAAATAATATGATACAAAATAATGTTGTTGAATTCTAGAGGTAACGAAAATACTTCTAATTTCTTTCTTTTCTATATCAAGTGTGAAAATTACTTATGATAGTTTAAGTACCTTCGTAACATAAGAAAAATATCGTAGGTGGTACAACGGAGAAAACTACGTGGTGGTGGTGAACTTCAGAGAGGAACAGTTCACCGTGGACTTGACTTACTTCGAAAACGTCGTCGGAGATTTAGAAGTTACCGTCAGCAACATACAGTCTCCAAAGGCCAAAGGGTGAGCTTAACATATAAAAATCTCTACTAAAATTCTCAGTTTAACAAGTCGAACTTCGACAGAAAAAAACTTGATTACTGTAGTAGGTACTGATCCGACTCTTATTTTCTGTAGATCAATATATCTACCTATATCATCCACTGGCAATACTTATTTACTCTGTGATCACAGTGTTTGCAGTGTTGAAATATCGCTGACAAATATGGTAAAGATTCCGACAATAATTATTAATCTTAATAGCCTTAGCTATGCCAGTTTTAAACTATTTCCTATATGAAACTAAAGTTTGTTGAGAAAAATTGAAAATTATACTAGCGTAATTGTTTTTATTGAAACAATAAAAAAGTTAATTTTACCATTTGATAATATTATTTAGCTTCTACAAAGATAATTTTATAAATTTAGAAAATCTTAAGTTGTAATTTCATTTTTTTAGAACGATCGTCCAGGCTGATCGTTTGGAGATATTTGGAAGTGAATCTTTAGTGCTGAAGGTTAAATGAAAAAAGGTTGAAATCATTGGTATTGAAATAAATGTTCTATTTTAATAGGTATGTTTCTATTTTATTTCCTATAACTTTAAAAATTTAAATTGGTTACTCAGATTTTCAGTGTTTTTATCAATTTAAGGAGTATCTGAAATAAATAAAGTTGATTAATTATAAACGTTATCTTAACCGTTTCCTTCCATGACGGAATGTCCCTGGCACTCTGAGATGGGACTCGAACCTTGACCCTTCGCAATCCGGGCAACTGCTCCGTTTCATCTATATTGAAAGTTTAAATATTTGTAAAAATATTTCTTTCGGCTGTTTGGGTGCATTGACTGAACATTGATCCTGACCTGAACCAGAAAATACGCTCTGTAGTAGCGAAAAATTACTTTTTTACTCAGTTGGAGAGATCGCATGGAATGCGAAGGGTCATGGGTTAGAGTCCCGTATCAGAGTATCAGGGACAAAGCGGATATTTTAATTAATAAGATAAGATTTTAATAAGAACATGATTGATTGTTTTGTAAGAAGATAGCAATATTATAATAGCTGTTTAAATTTATATAACAGGAATATAATCTTTGAGCAATTAATCTTTTAATGTAATTATTGTAATTATAATGACATTAATATTACATATTAATGTTAAAGAAACTCGTAGATAATATCGTCTCAGGTGACCACGGGATGATCACGGGACCCCAACCTGTAACCTCTTTAAGACTTTAAAATTACTCAGGCGCTTGTTATTTGTTTTTAGATAAATATATATCTTAAGATTGTGTAATCTATAATAATTACAAAACAGTTAAAATAGCAATATACATTATAAATATCGATTCATCGACTCTCGTTAAAATAATTAAAACCAGGAAAATATAAAAAGGTAAAATTGAAACCGGCGAAGTGTTCACGATTGTTATTGTTAATGAAGGGAAGTCGTCCCAGCGGGACTTGTTCAAATAACAAGGGTTCAAAGGGCGAACAGTCATTTCAATTAATGTTTTCAAGACTTTAATTTCCAAATTCATATCTACAGACTTTATCAAAATAATAATAGGAGCCTCTTTTCTGTAGTAAATTAGGAAATCAAAAATAAGAATTTGCAATTTACACCGTGTCACTCGTTAAGTAAAAGTTCTCATTAAATTAGGATGGATGTAATGGAAGCGAATTGAAGAGAATAAAGATCTTAACACATATTTTTTATGCTAATGGTCATGAGATATTCATGTTCCCATAATAACTTACGTATAGTACATACATCATAAAAACATTCTCACATAAAAACTTTTTGTGTCAAAATAAAAAAAAAACCTTTTTATCAATTGCTTTTTCATTATTAATTGTTTATGCCAATAAAGTAGGTCTGTCGTTAATACTGGGAATATGTGCGGGTTATATTTTCGTATTTAAAACAAACATTGGGGGTAAATGTTTTTTTTTCTATGTTCAGAACGCCTCAAACTTATTTCCAGATCATATATGAATGCTTTTAGTTAGCGTTAAAAGACTGTAATTCTTAAATTCAATTATGAATCAACAGACGTCACCTTGAATTCGAGATAGATGAGAAATATGAATTTCCCACTATTCATATTTATGCGTTCATTTGCGTATATGAATTATGCATGGATGACGCACCGTACCGAGATTCGGATGTGACCTCTCACCCTAACTTAGAATCCAGATGTGTATGGACATACGGCGCAATATAAATGTTTGTAACGTACATATGTTGACAACAAATTTTGTTTTAATTTTTATAATTCTTATCTGGTTTAAAAAAAAGGAGTAGAGGTGTAGTATATTATTTCCTTGGAATTACGTAATGTTCATATATGTTAGCCTGTATAGGCTTCTAAACACTTGTGCTAAATTTTATAGATGTATGTATAAAATTTAGCACAACTGTTTGTTTGTCCACGTACCTATTTTTAACATAAGTAGGCAGCACTGTATTATTACTGACGAGCCAAAATACGTCTTGAATTTAATGTTGAATTGTGTGATTCAAAAGTTTTCTTTTCAAGAAGTTGAGAATATCTATGTCGAATTTCATAATCAAAAATTATCCTTTAAAATAAGCAATAATTGATTTTTAAGCAAGTTAATAATTATTTTCTAACATATTTTTAAATAAAATTCAAACAATTTTTAATGACTACGATATCTTCAAGGCTTGCTTTATTCAACGTGGCAATACAGAAATTTGATTATAAAATTAGAAGCGTCGATATGACACGCCACCGCGCCCTCGTCGGCGAGACGGAGGCTTTGTTACCGAACAAATTACTCTCTGGCAAACACTCGGAATTGTTAAGTTGACGAGATCAGCTTATTAATTAACTCCCCTAAAACCCCGAACGCCAGTTGATATGATTCTCACGTCTGAGATGAGATTGTGCTCTACTAAGTGTTAATATTTATTATTTTATACTGGATTAAGAGGGCACGAAGCCAAAAATCACTAAGATTTAAATATTTTTGTTATAATTTTTAAAAAAATATTTCTTGTTTGTTTACATTTTAATGTTAATATTAAATGAATGTAATAACGTTTTTTTATATATTTAGTATATAGCGAATGTGTACAGCCGTTTCAAATTCATTTTTTTTCTTGTTCAAATGTTACTATCGACGTTTTTTTTTTATTTTCGATTTATTTTACAACAGTATTCTTGTATTGGGATCTTATATTGATTTGGAAAACTTTTGGAAAAGCTGTAAGGCATAAAATATCGAACGCTATGGATATCAGTATTTATCGATTGTATTTAGAGAGTCACTATTTGGCATTGAGCTTTGACTTTGACATTGACATAAGATGACATTCGCGCTAATATATTATTGAGATAGTGTTGCAATTTGTTTTAAATATAAGTGACTTAGCAGCTATAAAAATCTGGTCGAATAATTTTGGTGTCTCTGTTAATCCTTCAAAATGCCAAGCTATAATATTTGGGGGGCAACGAATCATGAAGAAGATTAACTTCAATAATCATGGCTCCATTATGTATGATGGTAGTTCGATCCCTTTTAGCCCTAGTGTAAAAGATCTTGGATTACATCTCGACTCAAGCTTCAACTGGCAAGCGCAAGTAAGCAGTGTTTGTCAAAAAGTGACTGGAATACTGCGAGCACTTTATCGTCTTAAAAACTTTTTGCCAGTCAATATTAAAGCTATGCTTGTGCAGTCCTTGATATTTCCTATAATCGACTATGGTGATGTGTGCTACCTCGACCTGAATGCAGATCTACTAAATAAACTCGACCGACTTCTAAATAACTGCATTCGATTCGTTTTTAATCTTAGAAAATATGATCATGTGTCCGCATACCGATCTCACTTAAAATGGATGACCATCCGACAGCGTAGAAGTATGCGAGCTCTTACTACTCTGTTTTCCTTACTGAACTCTTCGAATGCTCCGTCTTATCTCACGTCGCAATTTCGGTACATATGTACCACTCATACCAAAAACCTTCGCTCCTCCTCAAATCTGCGGCTCATGTGTCCATCGCATCACTCCGATACCATCCATTCTTCGTTTTTTGTGAAATCGATTCTGTTGTGGAATGAACTTCCGTTGGATATCAGAATGTCCACCAGCAAAGTTACATTTAAAAACAAGCTGCGTAGCTTTCTATTGGAACAGGCTAATTCGTTACACCGTTAGTCGTCTACATTATATATATATATATAGATTATATATTATATTAGTATATGTAGTTATGAAAGTATATATGTATTGTTTATGTAAGTTTATGTATTTTGTTATAGGTCTTATTTCCTCTGTTTATATCTCCTGTACAATGTGCACACTACCACCTTTTATCTCCACATCACCCATCTGGTTGACTGGTAGAAAATGCCTAAGGCATTAAGTCCGCCAATGTATTATGTACACGAAGTGTTAAATAAATAAATAAAAGATAATACCAACCAAATATACGAGACATATAGACATTCATACCACAGGAAAAGTAGAAATGTCAGCAACAAGAACCCTCTAAATTTAGAAGCCACTCTGTTTTTCTGCACTAACGAGCTTATTTGTCTAGACGTAGCTTTATAAAGGCATTGTCGAGTAGGATACGTGAGCTGCTCTTAATTTGACACAACAATACTTTTGTATTACTGGTAGTGGAACCTTATTGCTCATAACGTAATATAGATTTTAAATTGTGTGCTTATATACTTCTTCATCTTCACGCAACTTAATAGTCAATCTAATTATACAAAAAGTCAGTATAGACTTATTGAATATCTGAGGGATAACGCACCACCACCACTGGACGTAGACACTTAAGGAAAGTACATTTATCTTGGTAAATTTATATGCTATTGTGGAATGCAATAAACAAATTAAGTATTATCACAACGTAATAAATTACGATTGTTTTATTTTATAAGGATAGAGTTGGCAGGCTGTTGTGAGTAGAGCATAACTTATGCGACTTTTAACAGCTAACAAAAGCTATCAGTTAATTGTATATGGATATCATTTGTATTTACAGTATATATAACTTTGTTAGTCAGATATCTTTCTTATTATT